GGGTTCCACAAACATGATTTTTTTCTTGTCAGCCCAGGGGCTTGAACTCAGGCCATAGGTACTCTTCCAGAGCTCTTTTGATCAAGTCTTGTGTTCTGCCACTATGAGCCACAGCACCACTTTTGGTTTTCTGGTGGTTAGTTTGAGATTAGTGTCTTGGATTTCCTGCCCAGGCTGGCTTTGAACTGCAATCTTCAAATCTCAGCCTCCCAAGTAGCTGCAATTATAGGGGTAAGCTAATGGCCCTGTCTCACAAACATGATCTTAGATTTTAGGTCAGTTCCCTGGGCCCCACTCGGCTGGCTGGGCCTCCTTTTCCCCAGTGCTTTGGTGCTGGCAGCAGGTGAACAGAGCAGCAGAACAGAAGGTGGTGCCTAGTTACTTCTGGTGGAGCCTTTCTGTGTACTGCATGTCCTGCATTAAAAACCCAAACCCCCAAAGACACAAGGTTATTCTTTCAAAGTGGGTGATCATCAAGTCCAGAAATTTAGGGACACCCCCTAAAATCATAATCTACTCTGATCAGGAACCAGGAGTGACTGTGCCCCTTTTTCCTGGTTTTTAAGTTTTCACTATTATAATATTTATATCTATCTCTCTCTCTATATATTCCTTGGTAGTTGTACGGAGATGATGCCATCCATCAGAGCAGTTCATGGGTGCAGCATCTCTTGGTTGATGTCGCCCATTTCACGATTCTCACCACCCCTACCTATTGTATCATTTTTTTTTTTGTATGTGTGTCAATTCTGAGGCTTGGACTAAGGGCCTAGGTGCTGTGCCTACATGGAAGATTCCTGACTCCCATGATCAGACTTAGTCTGTTCTTCCTCAATTCCTTGCCTCAGTCATTTTTCCAGGTTCACAGCTCACATCCAAGGAACTTGCCTTGGGTGTAAGTGCAAGCCAGTTATCAACAAACCACAGGGCATGCTCAGAAGCAGCCACCTAGGGTCTGCTAACTCCACTCTTGAGTCTGCACACTCCATGCCTGATCCATAGCAAAGGAATCACAAGTGCATAAGTTGATGAACTGATGCTAAATTGGCTGGTTGTGGCTGGTCGTGGTTTGGATGTATTGATGAAGCAACTCTAAGGTGGCTTAGGCAACACTGTTGGAGCAAGTTTGTTAGATTTTAGAATACATGTTTCAAAAGCCATCTCATGTTGTAGTCATGATTGCATACCTTTGCTTCTCCCAGTCATCTCATGTCCCAAGCAGGTCACACCCCCAAGGTCTTATCTCATTACTCAGTCAAAACTGCTTTGCCCATTTTCTGTTCATAGATTCATTTTGAGCTTTGGCTCAAGTGGTACAGCACTATCATTTAAGCACAGAGAGACTCATGCACAGAGCCAAGGCCCTGAGTTCCAGACCTATGCCAGCAAAAATAGGAAGGAATAAGGACCAAAAAAATTCCAATTTTGATTTAAAGCATGAACCTATATATTCAAGCATTTAGCAACCAAACAGACTTCAAGTAAGATAATCTGAGATCACTTAAGATATTATAATTAGGGGCGGGGAAGGTGGCTCAGTGGTAGAGCACTTGCCTTGCATGCCTGAGGCCCTGGGTTCCATTCCCCAGCACAACATAAGCAAAAAGAAAAAAAAGCCAGAAGTGGTGCTGTGGCTCAAGTGATAGAGTGCTCACCTTGAGCTGAAGAGCCCAGGCCCAGAGTTCAGGCCCCACAACCGGACCTCCCCCCAAAAAAGATATAATTAAACGATCAGAGAACCTCCAAAATCACACACACACAATTCATCACACAGGACTTCTTCAATGAGATTATGAAGAATTTCACCTCAGAAACCAAGGATGTCAACAGACAGTAAGGACAGAAAATTTTCAATACTAAAATCTAGGCCAGAGAAATTAATGAGGTCTTATCTCCAAGGAGCAGCAAAATGCCAAGCTGTGTTTCAAGTGATAGAGCACTAGTGGAAACCAAGAAACCCAAATAAAGCTAGGTATTGGTTGGGGCTCATGCCTGTTATTCTAGAAAGGCAGAAGGCTGAGATCTGAAGATCACAATTCAAAGCCAATTTGGGCAGGGAAATACATGAGACTCTTCTCTCCAATTAACCACAAAAAGAAAGGGGAAAAAAAAGCCAGAGTAGAGCTGACCTTGGGTAAAAAGGCTCAGGGACTGGAACTAAGCCATGATTTCAAGGAAGGCCTAGAATCAGAACCAAAAGAAAGAAGAGCAAAATGAGAGAAAGAAGACAAAGGAAAAAGAAAGCCAAACAAGAGCACAGATCTATAACTTCAAGCCCCTGCATGCATGTGCAGGTGCAAACACACACACCAAGATTGAAATACAAGCAATAACAAGGTTATGATGAGTAAATATTTGGTGTCATGAAACCACGAATATAAATGACAACTCATTACTAACAAATCTATCTATCTATCTATCTATCTATCTATCTATCTATCTATCTATCTATCTATCTATCTATCTATCTATCTATCGAGACGAAGAGACAGACAGTGCAATCATGGGGCTCAAACTCAGGCCCTGCGCACTTTCCCTTAGCTTCTCTAGTTTACTGCTCCCACTCTTACCACTTGAGCCACCGTGCCACTTCTGGCACTTTCTGTTTATGTGGTACTGCAGAACTGAACCCAGGGCTTCATGTTTGCTAGACAAGAACTCTACCACAAAGCCCCATTCCTAGCCCCTAGTTACAGATTTTTAAAGAGAAGTACTAGGTTTCAAAATGAGAGCATCTAGCTTCTAACTAGATCTCTCTTGCTCTGCAGATCTAGCTCTTGAACTCACTCTCCTAGGAAAATGCTCGAGTTCGGCACCTCAAAAAGATCACCATAGACCAAGATCGATGTAATCAGCAGTGAGGTATTTATTGTGAGCTAGCTTGGTCCTCTGTGCACACAGAAACCAACTGGCAATGCTGAGAGGCCCCCAACCTAGGGTTTGCAGCAGTTTTATACACTCTTTGGGGAAAGCTGGGTCTTTGCACTCATCATATCATTCCTTGACAAATCAACACACACCGTGAGAAAATCATAAAACATTCCTAAAACATGATTTGTGTGTCCAATGGTGGGAAGGAATCTAGAAAGGGTTATTGGTCAGATCAAGGGGTTGATGCGCTTTAAGATTATTGGTTCAAGTCACAAGGGTGGTACAAGGGAGTACCTGCAGAACTGCAGGACTTTCTGGTTAGATATTGGTCACCACTCCCAGGTGGGGGCTGTCTGGAATCTCAGACAATTCGACCTTTGGCTTACCTTAGGCAAGCAACATCTGCAGTTTTCCAAGGACTGTTTGCCCTTAGCTTTCTGCAGAATTTCCTAGCTTTAGGACTGCAGTAGGTCAGAGGCTAAATTCCAGAATAAAATGAGGTTCCAGGTAAATTATTGGCCAAGTCTTTCACTAACCCTTACCCTTCATCAATTTGAACATATCAACCCACTGACTCTGAATTACAAAATAATGATGAGGACCTAATGGGAAATGTTGATGATTTTTTTTACCTCATCGATGGTAGTAACTACTGGTAACTCTTAGCAGCAGTAGATTTTGACCAGAAATTGCTCCTATTTCCACCACCAAGTGAAGTGGGAGACAATGGAGAGAGGCCCTGTGACCCAATGATCCCAGTGCAGGGAATCCTGCATGAAAGGAAAGAAATGAACATGCGAATGTTGTAAATCCACAGAAGGAAGAGAAAAGCAGCCTGTACCTGGCTTCACTTCCTGACTCCCCCTCTCCCTCCATGGTTTAATCTTTCTTGGCCATATTTGTCACATTGTATCCTTAGCAGTCCCTCCTATGCCTCAGTTGCAGGTTTGAAGTTTCTTTTATTCTCAGGGTTTGTCTTGTGATTTCATCTTTTCTTATGGCCTTTTCATTTTAAATAAATCATTTCCTTAAGTTGTATACCAAAGATTTTGAGTTGTTTAAAAATATAATAGTGAGATGTACAAGCCACTATGTTGAAAATGAACTTTACAATTTCAGGGAGGTGGGGTGGGGAGGGAGGAGTTGGGGAGGTGGGGAGGGAAGGGATGGTAGGGGAAAAATGGAGGATGAGGTAAAAATACTCAATAGGAAATGTACTCATTACCCTACTCATGTAGAGTATTTTTACAATAAAAATATATATGGAAAATAAATAAAAATATAATAGTATGGCACCAAACTTGAAGAGTCAGGGTGTTTTTTTAAACTGGATGCCACTTTAGTAGCTTCTTTGCCACATCCCGGGTGTGGCAAAGGACTTAAATGTAATCCACAATGGTTTCACAGACTGTTGGAGCAAGTCCCAGGGCCTACACACAAGACTAGTGTCCTTGTGCCTGGAACACAGGGACAGTGTCCTTGTGGGAGCAGGTCTTAGGATCCCGTGGCCCTAGAGGAGGGAGTGGTGTGGCCACTGTTCTTGCAGTTCCTGAAACTGCCATGATGACAGCCATAGTAGTCCAACTCAAGCCAACTCAAGTCCTTGACAACAGTCCTCTAGGCCTAAAAGTTAGACCTTTAAGGGGTCCATGTCTAGCTGTGATTGGTCTATTTCTGCCTAATAACACTGGTCCTGGCTGTGATTGGTCCATTCCTTCCTGGTGTCACTAGCCCCAGCTGTGATTGGTCCATTTGCTCACTGACCTCACATGCCATTCTGAGGTCCTTGTAGGGGTTATAGAAGGCAGTTGCTCTACTTTTTGTCAGTTCCAATGCTGAGCACTCTCCTTTGGATGACCTGCCAGACCAAATGAGAGCTAGGTTGATGCTTTCATTTGGGGGTTGGGGGGAAAGGAGGTTTTGTGTTGTGTGGGTTTGGTGATTTCCATTATTCTGTGGTTTAAATTGAGCTAATTTTTGTTAAGATTTGCTACCCACTAAATTGGTTCCATTAACTTCTTAAAATTTGCTCCCTGCCTTATTTATTGAACTAAGTTTTTATTATTTATTATCCACCGTATTTATTTAACCATGTTAGTTAAGACTGACTCCCTACCATCCTTTTGAAGATGGAATCAGACATATTTGAATACATGTCATTCTCTGTTGTGTTGGAGAAGAACTTTTCCAACCTATATGATGCTGATGAGATCATTGGAGCTGGCTGCTATGGTGTGGTGGTGAAGGCCTACCACCGTCTCACAGACAGGGAGGTGGCAGTGAAAATGCTGGAGAAAGAAGGGCGCCTGAGCCTGGTGGAAAATGAGGTGGACATTTTAAAAACTCTCCATCACCCCCATGTGATCAGAATGTACCAAGTGATTGAGGGAGAGAAATACATACACCTGGTGCTGGAAATGGCCACCAGAGGAAACCTCCTGGTGTGGCTCATAGACTTACACCGCCGCCTTTTTGAGGATGAAGCCAGGAGGTTTCTGAAGCAGATAGTCAGTGCTGTAGTTTACTTACACAAGAACAGGATCGCACACCGCGATCTAAAGCCTGACAACATCCTCCTGGATGAACACAGTAATGCCAAGGTTGGCGACTTGGGGCTGAGTGTCAGGATCGCCCCGGGGCAGTTGCTCACAGAAAAGTGTGGTGCCTTCATATTCCGTGCCCCTGAAATGTATCTGCAGCAAGAATATGATGGTTTCAAGGTGGATCTCTGGGGCCTGGGCACTATCTTGTTTTTCATGGTTACAGGAAAACCCCCCTTTAAAATGACCACTTTCAAACAGCTTAGTACACAAATTGTACAGGGCAGGTACACTATCCCATTTCACCTGACTGCAAAAGGACTTAGCATCCTTTTGAAGCTCCTAACTGTAGACCCGCAGCAGAGGCCGGATATAGAACAAATCATGGTGCACCCATGGTTTGATCGAGTTGAAGAAGGCTCCCTGTATCCAGAAGAGCCACTGCCTGACAAGTTAGACACAACAATTGTCACAGCTATGTGTGCCATGGGATACACTGAATCTCAGATCTGCGAATCAGTAATGCAGAGAGCTTATGATGAAGTGATGGCTACCTATTGTTTCATAAAAGATGGCCTAAAGCAAGGGAGTGTCAGCCCTCTCCCTGTTAAATCAGTGCACTCTGGTGTTGGACCATATCCAACTCCCACAAACCTTTCCACCTTCCCTCTAAAGAGGAGTGCAAGTTTACCTGCTCTGCTTCATTGTCTGCCATTACTATCTGAGTTTATGCAGACCTGCCATGAGAAGCAGAAGAGACACAGAAGTGTCTCCCTGCCTGCCATTCCCCTCTGCTTGATGCAGAGTAGCTCCAGTCCCAGCATCAGCTCCCTGTATGACTCAGTGTCTGCCCTTCACTGCTGCTGCCTCCCAAAGAGCCAGGAGGAGACAGGAAGTTGTAAAGCAAAAGCAGAAGCCCTGCCCAGCTCTGCACAGCTCCAGGATGAGAGCAGAGTCTGCAGCATTATCAAGAGTCAGGGCTGCAATGAGCCTGGAATGGAATCTAGGAGATATGCTTGGTATGGTAGTAAGGAACTGCCAGAAGAGGCTGCAGAGAAAGTTTTAGTGCTTCCAGCATGCTCAGCAAAGAACTCTGGGTGCTCTTGCTTTGGGAACAGAGACAACACATCAGAGGACGATGTCCTTCCCTTTGAGCAGCCTCAGAATGATAGCAGAGACTCTAGCTCCAGAAGAAAGCGGAGCAAGAAGGGTGTGGTTAGCAGAATATTTACTGCTTTTTGCAGATTGTGCTGCTGTCTGTGGACCCAGGAACAGAGCAGTTCCAGAGATGGCAGTGAAGAGCCCTGAAAGACAGCAAAGCCATTGAAAGGCAGAAGCCCTGTCACTGACACAGGAAGCTTCTTGCCCACCCATCTGGGTACAGCAGAACAACCCCAGCCAGAGAGTTTGTAAGAACAGGGGCATGCAAGAGAAAATGAGCTTGTATCTCTGGACACTGCTAACCCCATTAGAAGACTGCTCTTGATAGTACAAATTATACTACCTGTAAACACTTAAAACTGATTTTTTTAGAAAGAAAAGTGAAAGTCTTCCAATGACAAAACATCTTCAACATAAGGAAACAATTAAGATCAAACTGTCTGTGGTTGCTTGGAAGTGCTGTCCTCTCTGTATTCTTCATCCTTAGTGCATTTAGAATGAATAGGCATAGTTTAGAAGTGTTTGTGTTCCCACTTTAAACTAGGTAAGTGGGGGCTGGGAAGGTGGTTCAGTGGTAGGGTGCTTGCCTCACATGAATGAGGCCCTGGGTTTGATTCCTTAGCACCACATAAGCAGAAAAGAGCTGGAAGTGGTGCTGTGGCTAGAAGTGGTAGAGTGCTAGCCTTGAACTGAAGAGCTGAGGGACAACGCCCAGGCCCAGAATTCAGCAGCACCCCGCTCCGACCAACAACCACAACAACAACAAAATAAAACACAAAAAACCCTAAATGACCTTATCTTTTAAGCTTGAATTTATTTTTAATTCTAATTTTCCTTAGTGTAGACAAATCTCTATTCTCTTCATTTAGTAATGTACATGCTATAAATCTGTGAATTTCATAATCTATGAACTCTATAAGCTATAAGAATCTGTGAATTCTATAAGGTATTTTATAAGTATGATGTAACTCCATCCTTAAAATCTAAAAAAAAAGCACCAAAAATATTTATTTCCAAAAAACAAAAAGAAAAACCAGTGAACATCATTGCTGGTGAAGATACTAAATTCTATGCTGCCTCTCTTGTGAGCAAGTGCCTCAAGAGTGATTACTACTGCCTGTGTCCAAAATCTTTCCCCGTCTATGACTTGACAAATTGTGCATAGCCTATCAGTTCTCCCAAAGCTGCACAGCCCAAGGCATCATAGAATGAAGATCCATCACAACATAGGCTGAGAATTTCTAGTTCTGAACAACTGACCTCCCTGACAGAAAGGAAAACTAAGGGGTTTTCTGTTGGTTGGGGTAAAATTTAGGTCAAGTCATCTTGACTTTATTTAACCCTCTTTGCTTTGTTCTTCTTTCCTCAAAAGAAATTCTTAGTTTTTCCTTATATTATTTTGTCCTTACATTTCAGGGTTTTTTCTGGTTTTTTTTTTTTTTTAAACTTATATCCCAACCTCTCACTCTGGTGGTCATAGACCTTGAAATCAGATGTCTAGGTTTTAAAATCTTTTATTGGCTCTTCTTAGCTTTCTTTTTCTTTTATTATTCCTGTTGAATTTTATCATTAGTAAAGGTATTGTGGATTTTTATTAAAGGTCTAGCCACTTTGCCTGAAGATTTTTGTTTTCTACATCTCCCACTTTAGAGGCTTCACAGCTTAAGCCACAGGTCAACTTGGAGTTTTTGTCCTTTGTTTTTGAAAGTTCTAGGGCTTAACCTTGGGGCACGGCCATTTTGTGATTAATTATTTTTTTGTTGGGCCTGTGGCTTGAACTCTGAGCCTGGGCACTGTCACTTGGCTCTTCAGCTTAGGGCAAGTACTCTACCACTTGAGGCAAAACACCACTTCCAGTTTTCTGGTGGTTAATTGGAGATAAGAGTCTCATGGGCTTTCCTGCCTAGTCTGGCTTCCATCCTTGATCCTCAGATTTCAGCCTTCTATGTAGCTAGGATTACAGGCATGAGCCAAGGGTTCTCGATGCTATTTAAATTTTTTGTCTCAAGTCTAGCAGACTCAACTACATGAACCACAGCTCAACTTTGGCCTGCTTTTGGTGGTTAATAGGAGCTTAGAGGCCAGGGCAAGCAAAAAGCATTACAGAGACACCTGAAATGTGAAGAGCACAACTCAAAGCTAGCCAAGCAGGAACAACCAGCAGACTCACCTCTACAGTTAACCACCAATAGGCAGAAAGTAATAGCACTTTAACCACAAGCAAAACACCTCAACCTTGAGTTCCAGTATTGAACACATTATAACAAGTCTCCTTGGAATTTCCTGCCCAGGCTGGCTTTGAACCCAGAACCTAAGATTTCACCCACCATGTGCAGCTTGGATTAAAGATATGAGTCTTCAGTTTAAAATCTTTAATTGGATATTCTTTCCCTACCTTTTGATTTATAGTTCTCCTTATTTTTTAATTGATTTTGTTAGTGCAGGTGTTATGGCTTGTTATTAAAGGACTGGCCACTGTCTCTGAAGTTCTCTCTCTGTTTTATTATGATACTCTCTTTAGAGCAAGGTTCACATCAAGAGCCACAGCTCAAATTCTGTTGTTTCTTTTTTGTTGTTGTTTTTCTTCCTCCCTCCTCCTCCTCCTCCTCCTCCTCCTCCTCTTCTTCTTCTTCTACTTCTTCTTCTT